AGAAATAGATCTAAGAACCTGTACAAAAGGTTGAATCTGGCTATGGCAGGAGGTACATCTTTTGCCTCTTCCATGGATTTAGATCCTCCCAAGTCATGCTTACATGTTCAAGTTTATGTAAGTGAGAGGTACAGTGCCCAACAGAGCCATGGTTTTAATGAATCCTTGGAATGGGTAGGGAGAATGCAGTGTGGGCATCCCAGAGGGGCAGTTGCTAGATACTCATCCTGTGACATTTATCAAAATGCTTTGACCACGACTACTTAAAGGAACACTCCCAAGTGTGTTGATGAAACAAGCATCAAGGAACATTCTGACCAGTTAAGAATTGAGAAAATAGAGGCAACTCTCTGCAGACACATGGGAAAATAATTTGGAAGTAACTTAGGGATATATGTTAATTGGAACAGTCTTCCCTATTTTCAACCAGGAAAAGAACTTGGGGAAGATTCTGGAAAAGTCTTTGAAGCCATGAGCCTAATGTATATTAGGAAGGGAAACTAGATACTCTAGTATTAGTAAAGGAGTCAGCTTCTAAGTCAAAGAATTACTGTGGTTGATGGAGCACTCATTACATACTTTTGAAATAATCTCTGTGATTCTGACCCTTAGTCCACAACAATTATACCCATGGGTGATTTGAAATACGAGTGGGGTTATTTAGTTTGGAAATGAGTGAGAAGAAATGTGATAGAAATGGACAACCTATAGTAACAGATGATGTAAAGCAGAGGCTCTCAGATTTTTACTCTGGCAAAAATAATTTTTGGCATCTGACTAAATTTATAAACCATGGCCAATTTACTTCTAAATTTCTTTGTCTCAAAGCCAGTGGGATTTTATTTTAAACCTTTCCACAGTCGCTAACCTATTCTTGTTTTATTTCTGTTACACTGAATATGTGCCATTTAGTATGTTGTTTTGAGCTCAAAGTTAGCTCATAAGCAGCAGGAGTGGACTTGCTGGCAGGGACTTTGGAGTCAGACAGTCTGCATTTAAATCTTACCTCCACCACTTACTGTGTGACTCTTTAGACCAGCGGTTTCTCAACCTGTGGGTCGCGACCCCTTTGGGGGGGTCCAATGATACTTTCACAAGGGTCACCTAAGACCATCGAAAAACACATAATTACATATTGTTTACAGTAGCAAAATTATAGTTATGAAGTAGCAACGAAAATAATTTTATGGTTGGGAGTCACCACAACATGAGGAACTATATTAAAGGGTCGCAGCATTAGGAAGGTTGAGAACCACTGCTTTAGACAGATTATCAACTTCAATTCCTTGTTTTCTCAGCTCTACAATGGAGATATTATTAGAAACTGTAGGCTTTTTATGAACATCAAATAAGATAATGTGTCAAAAGTGCCAGGAGAGCCTTACAGGTGTGGCTCAGCGGTTGAGCGTTGACTCAGGAACCAAGAGATCCCCTGGTTGATTCCCTGTCAGGACACGTGCCCGGGTTGCGGGACTAGATTCCCAGTAGGGAGCATGCAGAAGGCAGCTGATCAATGATGTTTCTCATTGATGTTTCTATCTCTAAATCTCTCCCTTCCTCTCTAAAAAATCAAAAAACATATTTAAAAAAAAAAAAGGAAAAAAAAAGTGCCAGGAGAGTGCTTGACACAGACGAGGTTTTCTTCTTCTCCCTCCACTTTTCCTGTTGAGGTGCTCAGTAATTAACAGTAGTAATAAGTAATATAGTCATCCTGCCTTCTCTCAGAAAGTTCCCACCTTCATTTCCTCAACTCTCTACTTAAGAGGCTATTCCTTTCTTCTCTCCCTGGCAGTCAGCACTTTTAACAATTACTCTCTTCATAGAGTAAGAGAAGGCTGAACCTAGAAAGAAGTAACATTAAGAACTACATTGTTAGGAAGAAATAGTTTTAACCAATATGTTGTCTTTGCTAAACATTTTCAGTCCTTCCAGATTGCTTATGGAGAATGTTAAGCAAATGACCCCCTTTGGAAGGCTAAGATCGGTAGTAAAAAAAATTTCCTAGGAAGCTATGATTTCCAGGAATTCTAATTACCAGTCTCTGCCAGAAAATTCTGATCAACAGTGGTTACCTTGCTGGATCCCTAAAATTTGTTTTGCTATAGTCTTGTTCTGCTTTCAATAAAGGATGCTTTCTTTTGTTGAGAGCACTGTAAGTGATGTCTCACTACTGAAAAACTGCATATTTGTTACAGTTATACAGGGTGGGGCAAAAATAGGTTTACAATTGTTTGTATAGAAAATAATACAATAATTAATGAATAATACAAGAATAAACTCAGCCTGGCCTGTGTGGGTCAATGGTTTAGTGTTGACCTAGGAGCCAGGAGGTCACGGTTGGATTCCCAGTCAGGCTATATGCCTGGGCTGCGGGCTTGATACTCAGTGTGGGGTGTGCAGGAGGTTACCAATCGGTGATTCTCTCTCATCATTGACTAGTGGCCTGGTGCACGAATTTGTGCACACTGAAAGGAAATTAATTAGAAAAAATATTTTAATATCGCTATTCTCCCTTTCTCTATAATAGAAGTGTTAACCAAATTCACAATTGATGCTCTATCTACTGAGCCAAACCAGCTAGGGCATGTTTTTTTGTTGTTTCTGTTTTGTTTTGTTTTAATGTCTTTGGATGAAATCTCAGTTTAAAATAATAATGACTTTGAGTTAACCCAGTAATAATGGGTTATTATGAGAATGAATGATTGTAAAGTCCAGAAAATTTTAGTTGTTTTCTCTATAATTTCTTCCTTAAAATATTTTCATTAAAATTTTTTTTAAAATACCTTAATACAATTTCAAAAATCAGATAAAACGGAAGTTTTATAATAGATAGTAACATCTTCCATCTGACTCATCTAACTGGTTGGTGCTTCTATTAACCTTCCGCCAGCCATCTGCCTTCTGTCTTCCAGGGATTTGTTGAAATTTCTTACTCATTAAGAGTGCTTGGCTTCTCTTTTGTTCTCTTCCCAGCGTGGGGTGGGGCATTTACATTTCATGCCTTTATCATTATATTGTTTTTCTCTGGGGTGAGTGAAGAGGGAGGTATATGCTGAATCTTCCTGACAGAGAAGCCCCTCATCTCAGATTTAGTTCAGAAAAATAATTGTTTTTATTTAAAAATAAGAAGTTATTGTTACTGTGTGTTCAGTGCCAGTAAAATCATGGTACCTATACCTCTATGGAGCTTAGAGTCTGAAGGGGGAATCTAGATTAACAGTTTCATACATTGAAGTGAAAAAGGGGTCTTAGAAGGTGCCACTAGCATTAAGTGTTTTCCTTGCTTAAGTCAGGTACTTAACAGAATTGTAAATAGAGTAAGTACTCCTGAGTTTATTACTGTGGGTACTCAAAATTCCTTTTCTTTGGCTTCCTTACTGCATAAACTTTTCTCCTACCACTCTAACACATTGGGACACAGCTTTCTTAATAGTTATAGGTCAGAAAAAATGAGTGCTTGGTTCTGTGGTTTAACTTGCCTTTTGCTTGCTTGAGCACCCATCAGGTTCTAACCTCCCAGAGCCGGGTTGATAGCTGGACCACTTTCTTTTTATGTCTCTCTCTTGTGTCCCAGAGTCTATAAAGTTTGGGGGCCCATTTCATACTTGAAGTGTATATTTATTGTTTTGTTCTGGCTCTCGTTCTGCTTCACCTCTTTAGGTCATTTGTCTTGAACCCTCCAGTCATAATTTTTAACACTGAGCTAATCAGTTGGGAGGATTTCAGATCCAAGACTTGTGCTAAGAATTTGAATACAGCCAGGAGATTCAGAGAGCAGGTGTGGCTAAGCAGCTACCCAGTCCCTTGACCAGCAGTTTCTTTGTGGTGATTAAGCAATAGGTCAGCTGAGGATTTTCACTTCCCCTCTCATGGGCCTTCTAAGACCACTATTTCTGGAACTATTTGGAAATGATGGGATTCTCCTGGTGGCGCTCTCCTCTTGGTGATATCACTTCTTTAGCAATGTTTCTTTCAGAAAAGTGTTCTTAGTATAGCAAAACTGGCCTCATTAGTGGGGCCATCACTAGAAATAGTTCCTATACAGCAGGGGTGGGGCACTTTTTTTTTTTTGCCAAGGACCAGTTGGATATTTATAACATAATTTGTGGGCCATATAAAAGTATCAACTTAAAAATTAGCCTGCTATATTGGGTCAAACATTTAATTAACTCACCCCTATTACCTTGGCGGGGCCAGACCAAATAATTTCGTAGGCCTTATATAGCCCATGGGTCATATGTTCCCCACACCTGCCATACAGCATAATAAGCAGGTCTTAGTTGTTAGAACTCTAATTGTAATCATTTCAAAAATGACCCCCTTCTCCCGCCCCCCAAGTTTATGCTCTTAACATCAGCTGGAAAGTTTCAGTCTACCAAACATCTCAAGTGATTGCAAAGAATTCTCAGACCACGGTCACAAAGACTCTGGCATGGGACATTGGGTATGATCTGAGATGATCTCCACTTACTTGATCTTAAGAGAAAATGTCTGGTCCTGAATGGTGAGGCAGCATGGGATAGTTGGAGTGGTAAGGTTAAGAAATCAGATGGACTTGCTTTAAAACCTTCTGCCTCAGTTGTAAGCTCGTAACCTTGTCTAACCTCTCTGAACCTTTGTTTACTCAATTCTAATGTGTGAATAATACTTGTCTCAGAATTGTTATGAGGATAAAGTGAAACAATGTGATATACATGACTCATAGGATATTTATAAAACAACTTCATACCTGACATATCTGTAAAATAAGATTTAGCTAAGATCATCTCTCAGGTACATTCCAGCTCTAATGATTCTTGATTCTCTAATTTTCTTTGTATAAAATATGTATTTTTTAAGGATATATTTGTGTAGAGATATGTAACTGCAGAGTCCTTGGTTGTCATGAATTACTGCCTGCAAAATGCCCTTTGCTGGATATGGAAACTGAGCCAGTGGAGAAGGCGATGTACCAGATAGTGCCTGTAGTTCTCTTACCTAAGCTTGTTTCATAATTTCAGTCCTACCAGATTCTCCTGGGGTTTATGAAGCTGAGTCACCATCCCCACCGCCTCCTGCATCTCCACCTCCTGAACCAGCGACGAAGACTGAGCCAGAGCCTCCTTCTGTCAAGGTACAGCTTTGCTGGGATGGCTACCTTCCCATGTGTTCTTTTCCATCCAGGGCCTAAAACTGCTGTGTTAAATCTGTTCTCTGCTGTATACTTCACAAGTGCCAGTAGATGGCTCTTGTCTCATTCTCTCCTATAGGTTGTAAGAAGACAGGGTAATATGTCTTCTCACTTGACATGAGATTTCAGCTGTAGGTCAAAGTTTCAGAGGGAGCTCTTTGTTTTCCATGACCTCCAGCATCAGGGCTGCTGTGCTACCCAACTCCCGTTGGAATTGTGCAGAATGAGGTCTTGCCTGCATCAGAGCAAAGTGTGTGAAAGATAGAACAAACAGCTTATGCACGTTTGTTACTCTTCCGGAAAAGGGCTGGATGAGAAAAGCCGGCAACAAATGGGGAAATGTAGTTTTGAGTGATCTCTAGCTGCATCTTGTCTGTATCTGTTAGTGTAAATAATGAAGAGTTGAGAAGATGGGTGCTGACAAGTTTTTTTTCCTTTATGTCTATCATTTTTCCTGAATTCATTGTATTAAGACTGTCATTTAAATTTTGCATTGATTTCTTCATTAGCTGAAAAGCATATGGGATTAACCCCTTCCCCAACAATTTTTTTGTTAAAAACGTTTCTTTTTCAGACTAATTTTTTTATTTTGGTTCTATATAGTATTTTTGATGCTGGTTATGAAAACAGTTTGTAATTATTTTTTCTTCCCATTTTTGTGGTTAAGAATAGTATTTCCTCAGAAAGTTTCTAGATGAAATTATTTAGAATGGTACGTATGTAGCTGGTTTTTGAAGGTAAAGTTTTAGACGAGTATACTCGTCGACGACTGAAAAAAGAACATTTTGTGAAAACGTGTATACACGTTTCTGCCGGGGAAGGGGTTAAAGACCAGTGGAGATAAAGGAAAGTAAAATACCAGTCTGAGACTAAATTAGACAGGCCTATATTACAGTGTCAAGGCTGAAATAGCAAGTATCTACAGCAGGGGCAGATGTCGTGGAAATCTCTGGTCTGTTTAGGGGCCTTCCCTGTGTGCTCCCATAATACCTGCCTCGGCCCTCCAGTAATGCCTTTATCAAAATGGTCTATTTTCCTGTCTGTCTTCTCCATTAAGGTTCTTGTCTTATTGGTCTTTTTAACCCATGGTGCCTGCACTGCTCAACAAAAGTATGTTGCTGAATGAACTCAGATTTTTGCTCAATATCTTTTCTTCTCATGAACAATGAAACATCAAGCCTACACATACAATGACCATAACTTGTCTGTGTGGGAGGGCTGGTCCTCTAACAGGAAATGTGTAGAATTCCTCGTTCAGCTTACCATCATGGAGTATTGGAGGTTGCTTGTTATAAATTAAACTTCTATTTTTCTTTGTAGTTTTATTGGTCACCTTAAATGTTATAACCTCTGATCTTTCAGAGCTTAAGTGGAGAAAACAAAAGAAAACGAAAGCGGGTGATGAAATCTAAAACCTTTGTGGATGAGGAAGGCTGCATAGGTAAGAAACATTTTGGGTTTAAATTCACAGGTAGTTATTACCACAGAGAGGCACCATGATCCTTCATAGAGCAGCGGGCCTCAAACTTGAGTGTGCATGTGACTCTCCCCCGGTGGTGCTGCCTGTCTGTGGCCCACACTTGGAATAGCATGGTATGAGACCATTACAAGTAAAGGTAGAACACCTGGTCTTGTCTGGACCATACACTATAAAAATAAGCTTTGAGATCTTGGATGGAAGTTGTCACCTCTGGTGGGGAATTTCTTGATCTATGGAATGGAGGTAAATTTTCCATTTTGCCTACATGTGGGTTATTGTGAAGATTCGGGTGAGGTAATACATCTAAAAACACTTTCGAGATGGAAATTACAATACCAGCTTAAGATGTTATCATTGATGTTGAGAAACACTGGTTTTTTTAGAATGGTCGTTTTATACATTTGAACAGTGGAAAAGAAGCTTCTACAGGTGATTAGACTGAAGAGAGTGTCATGAGTCTTTGGTATTTTGTTCCATTTGTTTTTCATAGAGGTTTGACTCTTCCAATTCATTTCCTTAATATTTCCTATTTGTAAGCCATTCTGGGTAAAAGAATGTGCTTTTTATGGAGGCCTAGAGGGGAACAGAATTTAGGCTTTGAAACAACCTAAGTATCCATTGACAAATGAATGAATGAATGAAGAAAGAAGTTGGGGTGTGTGTGTGTGTACAGAATATTATTCAGCCATATAAAAAACATGAAGCCCTACCTTGTTTGGCTCAGTGGTTAGAGCGTCAGCCTGTGGACTGAACAGTCAAGGGTTGTGGGCTCGATCCCCAGCACAGGGTGTGTAGGAGGGAGCTGATCAATGATTCATAAGAGCTTTTAATTTTGTTCCAGTAATCTAGTTACATAATGCTTTTGAAATTGCGTACAAGATGGGATTGGTGTTACGGGATTGTAATTGCTGAACTAATGGGTATATCAAGGAAATTCCCTAAGTATTTTAGAGCAACATTTCTCAAACTTTGAGTAGATGCATGACTTGAAACCTTGCTAAAATTCAGATTCTGATTCAGTAGAACCTGAGATTCTGCATTTCTAATGAGCTCATGGGAGTTTCTAATGCCCTCTTGTCTGTGGAACAAAGTTGAGTAGGAAGGCCTTTGAGAACACTTAATACATATTTAACGCTTATCAGTGTTTTTAGCCTCTAAGTTGGCAGGAGTCAGCAAAGTAAATTCTGGGCTCTTGAAAGTAATGACAAATCCTGGCAACTCTTGGGGAAGGGACTGTTAATTATGCAACCTTAATGACATCAGAGGGAATGAAGTGAAGGAGTAGCCAGTTGACCACCAGCATAGCCCACTGCGAGGGAGAAAATAGCACTGAAGGATGCTTACCAAAGATTACTGCGTGCATCTGGACGTTCTGAGGCAGAGTTCTTCCCACTTAATGGAAGGAAAGAGAAGTGACTCTCAAGACGAGGTCCCCAGACCTATTGAATGTGAAACTCTGGAAACAGAATCCAGCAGCCTGTGTTTTAACAGCCCTCCCGGTGATTCTGATGCACGTTGAAGTTTGAAATTGTATAAATGGCAGACTAGGAATTAAAACAGAGATATGTTGATTCCAATGCTTATGCCTGTAGAACAATGTGACTAATATATTTTATTAGAAATGATCAGTAATTACAAGCTTAAAACTATCATTGTTCTTAAATGGGAAAAAATACCTTTCACTTTAATCACCTGAGCTTTTATTATGTATGTTGGGTTATTCTATTCAGCTAAGAAAAGATGTTTTTCTACCATCATTTGCTGCAAACAGAAAGGCTGAGGAAGAATTTAGATGACATTGGTTATACAGCTGCTTCAGCTCTCTAATGTCACAGGAAGGTGGCATTGTTCTGTTTCTTGTATTGGTATATACATTGCAATAATATTAGAGAGACACCTCATTAGTTCTGCGACATGGTCTGTGCCTTTTGGGGCTTTCTTATAATGTCTGTTCACTAGTATAATGCTTTTCATTAGGCAGGTTTCATTGAGTTTTATTGGCAGGGGGAAAAGTAAAATATGCCTTTGGCTGATAGGGAGTAAGAGAATTGGTAACTATAGTTCTCATTGTATCATGGTCCTTCCTTAAAACTATCAAGTTTCACCCTAACCGGTTTGGCTCAGTAGATAGAGTGTCAGCCTGCGACTGAAAGGTCCCAGGTTCGATTCCGGTCAAGGGCATGTACCTTGGTTGCGGGCACATCCCCAGTAGGAGGTGTGCAGGAGGCGGCTGATCGATGTTTCTCTCTCATCAATGTTTCTAACTCTCTATCCCTCTCCCTTCCTCTCTGTAAAAAAACAATAAAAGATATATTTAAAAAAAAAAACTATCAAGTTTGTCATCTGATAGAATTTGCTTGGGACAGTTCTCTTTATGATGTAAACTTAGACCACGTAAATCTTGGGTTAATTAGTAGTCATTCAAAACCAAGAACTGAACAGTTGAACTAATCTCCAATTCTCTGTACTTAGGATGTGCAGAGAATGAGTGACATCAGGATAGAGCTAGTCAGAGACTAGACAGGATCAAAACTGGCAAATAGAGCAGAGATTAAGACCAGGAAAATGATCCGTGGAAATAGGCAAGCACCACTTAGAGCTCAGGAGATTAAGCAAGACCCAAAAGCAGGATTGGGGCAGTCAAATGATAAAGGCCTGGGACACCCCACCTGGCTCAGTGGTTGAAAGTGGGCCTATGAACCAGGAGGCTGCCATTTGATTCATGGTCAGGGCACATGCCTGGGTGGTGGGCTTGATCCCCAGTGGGGGATGTGCAGGAGGCAGCCAATCAATGATCTCTCTCATTGATGTTTCTCTCCCTTCTCTAAAATCAATAAAAATATATTTAAATAAAGATACAGGACATAGCAGTGAGGGAATAAGGGTGAGTATTGATTCTGAACCCCAACTAGAGACTGTGATCTCAAGATGCCACATACTTGCTACCTGCAGCTGATCTGATCTCCCAGTGGGAGGAAACTTTGGTGGTAGATGAGCACACCTTCCTTGATCAGAGTGTCCGAGGGGATCTGGGTGAACAAGACTTCTCATTCTTTTGATAGAATAGTATTCTAAATGACTCAGCCCACTCATGTTTCATTTTTTTCCCCTTATTCTACCAGTGACTGAAAAAGTCTTCGAGAGTGAATCCTGCACAGATAGTGAAGAAGAACTTAAGATGAAGACATCTTCCATACACAGACCCCCAGCAATGACTGTGAAAAAAGAACCCAAAGAGGAACGAAAGGGCCCCAAGAAAGGGACTGCTGCTCTGGGCAAAGCCAATAGACAAGTGTCCATTACTGGCTTCTTCCAGAGGAAATGAACTGCTATCTCTGTAGGTCAGAGATGTGGATGGTCAGGGAGATGACCAAGACATACAGACTCTCACTTACTGTGTAAGTGCATCCAGCGCCTCACCTCACCTATGTCAGAAGACTGTTCTTCCATCTTGAAAGGTTTATACTACTGGCTTTTAACCAAGAAGAAATCACCTGGAAGCAAGAGGCAAAAGAATATTTAAAAAGCTGTTACCTTCTAATGACATTTTTAAAGCACAATCTTTGACCTGTCCAGGAGAAGAATTTCTCAAAAAAAAAAAAAAAAGGAACAGGTTTCAGAATTATCATTATCACTGAAGCCATTTAGTGGCTCATCCACTGCACCCGACCTACCTTGTGCCCTGATGCACTTACAGCTCAGGGAGTATTCCTCTGTGTTCCTTTGTATTCCATGGACTTGTGTGGGTATTTTTTTAAATCCCTGAATTTTACTGGATGTGTTTTCCACTCCCCTTATCATCCCTTCCCCACTAACACAGTTCTGTGTGAAGCCGTGTTCTGTAAGTCTTTTAAATCGTGGTTGGACTGAGGCTGAAACAGAAATCTCCCTGTAATCCTCTTTTCCTCCATTATAAAGTACACTGACACCTGGCTGCATACCAGCTCACTACTTGTGTTTTACCCCTTTCACAAAAGCTCTCTAGACCTTCATTTGCAATTAGTGGTTAGGGCAAAGCCTCAGGCGGAGCGCAAATAGGAACGTAAGGATGTATTCAACTCCACCAGAAATCACCTAGAGTCAGCACTGACAGCATTAGAGGACGGGTCCTGTTGCTGACACAGCGCGCACTTTACACTGTTCTTATGATTTTTGTCTCCTCCCCTCTCTCCCTTCCCACATGCAGTATGTAACAGTTAAGTAAAATTTCTTCTTGAGGAAACTGAATGTTCAGAAATAAGCATTTCCCAAGGTCATGAGGAAGAGATAAAAGCACACATTATACAGATGTTGCTCCTCTGTATGTTTAACCCTCCCATTTGCCTAAAAGTCCAGGTTCCCCCAAAAGAGATGGAGAGACTGAGTTGTTAGTAGGACTAAACTGCTATTAAAATATTTTCATTTGTTACTTAAGGAAAGTCATCTATTGCAGTGATAACTTTTAACAACTTCCATTCTGGCTGCACAGTGAGCTCAGTGGGTGGAGGTGTGTGGCAGTGGCTGCCGTGGGCTCTGGGAAGGAAGCACAGGCTTGGCTGCTGGTGTGATTCATTGCGAAGAGACAAGGGATGTCTGACTTCTTTCCATCTTGGCCTGGTGTGTATCCTAAGTGAGCGGTCAGCCATCTACTGTTTAAAGTCAGTATTGTGAGGGACCTTGGATTAAGAGCAGTTTCTTGAGCAGGAGTCACCAAGGGCTCTCTAGCCAGGCACCCATGGACTTGATTAAGCCCAGAGGTTTGGGGGATGAGTCCTGGCATTACATCTAGGACTTGTAAAGGCAGAGGCTTTGTGTAGCAAGCTGAGTAAAGGATGACATATTCCAACCTCTTCTTTTTTAAATCCAGAAGGATGGAGAAAAAGAGGGAAAGCCTGGACCTTTACAAAAAATTTCTAGAGAGGGATCCCGTTTGAATGGATATTTTTGTCATTGCCTCTGGTCATTTTTCTAAATTGAAGTAAAGAAAAAATCAACTCAGTCTTTTTGTTGTTGTTGTTATGCTGAGATCTGTAGTAAACTAAACTTAGAATTGGAAACCTCTGGTGCTGGTTAAAAGGAAAATGCAGATTCTGTGATAGTGATCCTGTGATTACTATGCCCAATATGCTGCCTAACCTCTGAGCTGTCTGCAAGATTTTGTAAGAGGTGGCTTTTTTTTTTCTTTACACAAAACTCTACCATATTATCCCATGAGTTCAATAAATTTGAGAAGTTGTTTTAAAATAGTTCAAACTGAATGTCTGATGAGTCTGTTATTTGACAGGATGGCAACAGTGTGCCGTTATTTAAACTGAACAGGAACAAGGCTGTTTTTTAGTTTATATTGTTAAAAATTGCATACCCATAGTCTGAGATGGACAAGTTATTTGCTGCCTTCATCATTTTTTCAGCCCTGTGGGAAATCTTAGTTCCAGCCAAACTCATTTTTTTAGTTCATTTAGAAGAAAATTTAGTCCTGATCTTGCACATTGTATTAGTTTGGCTTCCTTACTTGCTAGCTGTGTGACTTTGGGCAAATTCCTAAGCCTCAGGTTCTTTACCAAAAAAGCTAAAAGGACTTACCATGAATGGTCAAGACTGAAATAATGCATAGCATACACTTAGTGTACAATGGCAGCACATAGGTGCTCTACTAATGTGGCTTCCTTCCTGATGTCATAAATGATGCATTTAGCTCCTAACGCTGAAATGTTATCAAGGATATGACCCAGATGTTAGTCTTTCAGAGTCATCATTCTGGCTATAAATGTGGTCAAAGGGGGAACACAATGGTCTGATTTTGGAAAGGTTTTAGAGAGATTGGATATTTTCCAAATGAAAGAAAGTGAGATTTATAGATGGCTGTATTTACTATTCCTTAAAACATTTATTGGGTGTCTACTCTGTATCAGGCCTCTGACCTGGCTACTAGAGGATATAATAGAATCCTAGATTTGCCCCTGTCCTCACTAGTGGAAAAGACAAGCCAGTAAAATAAAATAATGTGGTGAGTGCAGCGACAAGTTAGCACAGGGTCCTCTGAGAGCTCCTAGGAGAGGAGGTGTGGAGGAAGTCTTCCTAGGGGAGAGAAGCCAAGCAGTTTTTTGAAAGGTGAGTAGGATTTTACCAAGCAAAGGCTCTAAAAGGATTTCTCAGGCAGAGAAGTATGGCTTTTGGGGGGAAATGGACTGTTGAATTTAGGAATAGGGAGAAAACCTATTGAGAAATGAAGTTGGGGTTCCTGCTAAGGAGTCTGGATTTCGTTTGAAAAATATGATTCCAAGTGAAGAGTTTTAAGAAGAGTAACAAGTTGATTCTCATTTAAGAGTGACAACTGGGACAGGTACAAGATGGTGGTGGCATAGGAGGACACTGAACTTGCTCCCTCTCACGAGCACCTGAAATGTACACCTACATAGAGAGCAATTCCTCTGAGAGGCAATTGAAGGCTGATTGAACACCTTCTGCACAAAAAAATGAATTAAGAAACCAAGTAGAGAAGGCTGGGTGACCACTGGAGCTCTACAGGATTGGAGGAGCTGGTGAGTGCCATTGTTGACATCTTCCTCCACCTTGGTAGAGTGAGCAGGAACTCTATCCATGTGCTCTGGCATACCTGCAAGATAGCTGTAGCACGTTCCCAACCACACTGCTCAGAATCCGTTTGGCCCAAACAGGGAACAAGCAGGATCAACCAGGTGTCACCACATGCACCTGGTCTCTCTGCCCGGAGCTGCTCCAGCTGGGCAAGCCAACACCAATGCACAGTAAGCATCTGCCTGGCTGCATCCAGCCTGCCATAACTACCTGGCACACAATCCACATAGATGTTGCTTCTACACAAGATCACAACAAATGAGAGATGCCTTATAGAGAAGACTGGGGAGATGTAGCTCTCCAGGATCTGTGGAAAATCTCCATTATCCGAAGTGCTGGTGAGCATCATTGCTTACTTCCTTTCTACTTTCACAGAGTGAGCAGGCGCTCTCTCCAGGTACAGCAGCACTGTAAGACTGCCACAGTGCATTCCCAGCCACATTGTCCAAACATTTGTCTCTGAACAAAGGGAGCAAGCAGGATCAATACATTATTACATGCACCAGATCTCCCCACCTGGAGGAACTTGCAGCCCATAGGCTGGTGCACCAGTTGCATAGGCCCTCTCTTGGCTCCAACCTGCCTGTCAAAACTACTGACATACAGAGATCAATTCTACACAAGGCCAGTTTTTCAAGACTGGGAAAGATAGCTATTTCGCTTGAATGACAGAAATAAACATAGGAAGTCAAACAAAATGAGAAGATAGAAGAATAGTTCTCAAGTGAAAAAAAGGAGGAAAAGTCCCCAGGGCAGGAGGAGTGGGGCAGGGAAACCCTAATGAAATGGAAATAATTTGCCTGACAAAGACTTAAATGATTATGAGAATGCTCACCAAACTTGAGAGTGGAATAGAGGAATTTAGGGAAAACAACAGAGTTAAAAAAGAACCAGGCAGACCTAAAGAATGCAGTAACTGAAATGAAAAATACTCTAGAAGGAATAAACAACAGATTAGCTAATACAGATAAAAGAATCAGTGACCTGGAAGACAGACTAATGGAAATCAACCAATTAAGTCAGCAAAATATAAGTACTTTTTTTTTCTTTTCAAAAAAATAATTTAAGGAAGCTCTGGGACAACATCAAGCACACAAACACTTGCATTTATAGGGATTCCCAGAAGGAGAAGAAAGATAAAGGAGCAGGAAGTTGATTTGAAGAAATAATGGCTGGAAACTTTTCTAACCTGGGGAAGGAAACGGTCATCCAAGTCTAGGAAGCATGAGAGGTCCAAATAGATGAATCCATAATTACACCAAGACATATTGTAGTAAAAGTTAAAGATAAATAGATAATTTCTGGTGACGGTGGTGGAGTAGGTAAGTGCTGTGTTGTCTCCTCCAATGACCACATCAAAATTACAACTAAATTATAGAACACCATTGAGAACTACCTAAATACTAGCTGAACAGAATTTCTGTAACAAAGGATATAAGGAAAAGGCTATGTAAAGACTGGTGGGAGGGGCAGAGACATGAAACAGGCAGGTCCCATACCTATGGTGTGGTGGCTAAGAAGCAGGAGGTATATCTCAGCTATGGGGATCCCCCGAGAGGAGCAAGGCTTCCCAGTCCCAGACCTGTCTCCCTAGACCACAACTCTATGCCAGGAAGAGAAGTCCCCACAAAAATGGCTGTGGAAACCAGCAGGGATTGTGGCTGAGTGAGATAGAGAGCTGCTGGAAACCAAGCTGTAACAAGAGACAATGAAGAGCATTCCATAACAATAAAGACATCAACAAGAGGATATAACTCTTGTAAACATTTATGCACACAATGTAGGGGCACTTAAATATATAAAGCATATATTGATAGACATAAAGGAAGGGATTGACAACAATAGTAGGAGACTTTAACACCCCATTGACATCAATGGATAGATCTTCCAGACAGAAAATCAACAAGGGAAGAGCAGCCTTAAATGACACACTAGACCAGATGAATTTAATTGATATTTTTAGAGCATTTCACACAAAGCAGCAGAGTATATATTCTTTTCAAGTGCACATGGAACATTTTCCAGGATAGACCACATACTAGGACAGAAAACAAATCTTAGTAAAGAAGATTGAAATGATATCAAGCATGTTCTCTGATTATAATCGTATAAAACTAGAAATCAATTTTTCAGAAAATTAGAAAAACAATGTGGAAGCTAAAAAACATGCTACTAAACAATGTGTTAACAATGAGATCAAGGAAGAAATCAAAAGACACCTTGAAACAAATGAAAATAAAAACACAATGACTCAAAATTTATGGGACATGGCCAAAACAGTTTAAGAGGAAAAGTCATAGCAGGCCTACTTCAAGAAATAACATTAACAACAAAAACCTAAACAATCTAACCTTAAAGGAACTAAAAGTAGAAGAACAAAGCCCAAAGTGAGTATAAGGAAGGAAATAATAAATATAAAAGTGGAAATAAATAGTCTTAAAAAAACAACAACAATAGAAAGGATCAATAAAACCAAGAGCTGGTTCTTTGAAAAGAGAAACAAAATTGATAAACCTTTGGCCACACTCAACAAGAAAAAAAGGGGGGGGGCAAATAAACTCAGAAATGAAAGAGAAGAAATGACAACTGACACCCCAGAAATACAAAGGATAAGAAAATACTTTGAACAATATTATGCCAACAAATAGGACAAGAAATGGACATGAATGAATTCCTAAACACATACAATCTTCCAAGACTGATTCAGGAAGAAAAAGAATCTGAAAAGACCAATAGCTACTAATGGAATTGAATCAGTGAAAATAAAACGCACACACAAAACTCTCAACAAACAAAAGTCTTGGACCAGGTGGCTTCACAGGTAAATTTTACCAAATATTCAAAGAAGACTTAATTTCTATTCTTCCTAAACTATTCCAAAAACTTGAAGGGTGCTAAGGCTACCAAACTCATTTTATGAGGCCAGTTATTACCCTGATTCCAAAACCAGATGAAGGCATTATGATAAAAAAAAATTACAGGCCAAAATTCTTAATGAACAGATGCATAAATTCTCAACAAAATATTAGCAAACTGGATTTAACAATACATTAAAAGGATTATATACCATGCCCAAGTGGAATTTATTCCAGGGACACAGGGTGGCTCAACATCTGATATAAATCAATTAACATGATACATCAAATCAACAAAATCAAGGATAGAAATTATATAATCATCTTAATAGATGCAGAAAAAGCTTGTGACATAATTCAAAATCCTTTTATGATAAAAACTCTTAACAAGGTAGTCATAGAAGGAACATAACTCAGCAGAATAAAGGCTATAAATGACAAACACAGCTAATATATTCAATGGTGAAAAACTGAGAGCTTCTCTAAGGCCAGGAACAAACCAGGCATACCCACTATCTCCACTTCTATTTAACATAGTTTTGGATGTTACTAGCCACAGCAATCAGACAATAAATAAGGAAGTAAGTAAATAGTATCCAAATTGGAAAGGAAGAAGTAAAACTCATAATTTGCAGATAAGATGATTCTATATATAGAACAGACTCCACCAATAAACTATTAGGACTAATAATTCAGTAAAGCAGCAGGATACAAAATTAATATTCAGAAATCAGTTACATTTTTATACATCAATACCAATGATCAGAAGAAGAAATTTTAAAAAATCCCATTTACAACTGC